GCCACCCTGGAGAGGGTGCAGATGAGACCAGAGCTGCAGCCTCAACAGCATATCCAAGACAAAGCTCGAGTCTGTTGCTACACCAGCAGCTTTTAGGATCACACACCAAGCGGAGGCAGGTACAGCTGCAGCAAGGTGGTCCACCCTGACCCAGGCAGCAAGAGCTAATCTGCTCCAGGCTGTGCTCACCAAGATGCAGACATCCACAAGCACTAAACTGCAGAGCTGATCCTTCTGAAAAAGGCGGCCTTTGCAGTCCACAAAGCCAAAACACCATGAAGGGGCAGCGAGCCTCAGGGTCTGCAGATACAGGAGAAAAACTTCTCTCCAAGGACAGAATGAAGGAACAAGCCCCTTCTGTTCACAGGGACACGCGTCAAAGCATAAGCCAACCCAGAAATTGCTCATACCTGGGCCACAGCCAGTCAGTTGATAGCCTGATGCAACACAACTGAACTACAGAACTCACCACAGAAGGACAGAGGCCCACACTCAGGTCAGATGAGCAGGATTCAACTTATTGACAGAAACTTCCTCCTGTGCTTCGCCAATCTAGCAAGCCTAGTGTTAACAGACTTGTTTTAGGAAGATTTCCCCAGTGGGCAAGTCTGTCTGTCCCACATAGGGTTAGCTGCAGTCTCCCAATGTAGGACAGACCAGCCAGACCTAGCAGCCAGCATGCAGGCTAAACAGCAGGGAGAGATGCAAAATCCACACACAGATCTACCCATGTACTGCTGTCACTGATTAGCCGGGCAAAAACTGGAACAAGACAATTTTCTTGTGGTTCTTTAAGAACAGGGCAGTAAAGACAGATACCACCAAGGGCAGTCCTACTGCACTGCCTTTTAACCCCTGCTTACCTCTGTGGAGGGATGAACTGGTAGGTCTTGATACTGCATACTATGAGGCTACTTTAAACAAGAGGAAACACTGCCTCAAACACAGCTGGCAGTGCCAGGACTGGAAGCATTCAAGGCCAGTTTCCTGCAGAAGCCCCTCCCTGTGCCACAGAGCAGGTTCCTGGGACTTGATGAAGTGTTTCCAGTCTGATAGATCTGGTGGCAGCCAGGGGTTTGATGTGCTTTTCCTGCTATGAGACAGCAGTTCAATCCTACAGCCAATAAATGCAGCCAGCTCTAGTCTGCAGCAGCTGCTGCCTCCCGGACGGGCTTTCTCCAGACACACCAGCTTCAGGGACTGGCAGTGCATCCGGCACACTCTCAAGGTCTAAGTGCACATCCTTAGTGCATTACAGTGCTGGACCCAGAAGGAAGACGCATTACAAATAATCACATCTGGGTCCAAGCAGTGCAGCATCCCTTTTTGAAGGGGGACATAGACAGGACCAGAGCATACAAACAAGCCCAGCTGCATTCTGGCCTCCTGAGGTACGGCCGAGTTCCAGCCCTTAACAGGTCGCTGATCCCAACGCACCAAGCTGCGCCAGAACACAACCCTGGGTGCACAAGGTGACACCAGTAGGGTTTGTGGCCAGAGGGTCCTTTCCAGGCTGAGAGCTCCAAGCTGGCAGAAACTATGCCGACAGAAGAGGAGGTCCCCGCTCATCAGTACCCAAGCACAGGCACTGCAGAGGCCACATCAGCAATGTTTTTAGCTTGACTTGATTTTTTTTGCACTTCCACCCTTCCAGCCACCTCCCCATGGGTCTGGGCAGCTGAGTCACTGCTGGAACCTTCCAAGCAGCTGGGTGCCAGCAGTACAACAGCTCTGCTTGGCAGCATTGTCCCTCCTCAGCCTCTAGAGACAACTCAGTGCTGACGCAGCCTCACCTGCTCTCAGGATGTCTTGATGGAGACCCCAGCCCCCGGGTCTAGGCCTGCTGCAGCTTCCCATGCCTCAGTGCTGGGCATCAGCAGTGACTGGACACAACAGCAACCTATCCACATCCTCCCTCTTTCAGTCACAGCAAGACTAGGCCACCCAGCTATGTTTGGGTCTCCTAGCTCCTCAGATCTGTACAGCTTTCAGGCACAGGAGCGCTCCTCCACCACCCAGAGAGGAGCATTTCATTAGCCTTTCAGAAGATATTCCTGAACTACGAGATCTCCCCTACCTCCCCTCCCAAGGAGCTCTACTTTGCAACTCCCAGGCCCTAACGAAGGGGAGAAGGATGAGGCTCTGCAGACGTGGGAGGTGTAGGCAGACTGAAGCAATACAACAGCTGCGCACAGATATCAGTGCTTCACTTCTCATGCTAGCATATGCCATCCCCACAGCTCTTGGAGCAGCAGAGAAAACAGCAGCCCAGGCCAAGGAGTATTTCTTGCCTGGCTGCTGCATGCTCTGGAACAGAGGGTGGGATTGAGAGGGAGAGCATGGTCTCAGCAGGCAGAGCAGGACCACAACACCCCAGCCATATGGCACTCAATCCTCCATGCAACCTCTGAAGGCCAGAGGTTGCCCTAGTAAGCTCCCCTCTACCAATACTGATAAGAATACCAAGTGTGAGAAGTAAAGAAATAGTCCCCTCCAGAAATATTTGGTACCATTCCCCAGCAGCTGTTGCCACAAGTTGTCGCATACAACACACTGGGTGCCCACAGCTCAGATCCTTTCCACTGCTCTTCCCAGACCTCTGCGGCAGAAGCGCCAGCACTAAGCACTGCAGTCGGGGGGCATCTGACACTAGATACAGCTTCCATGAGCCCTGAGGTCACCAGAGCACCTTCAACTGATCTTCAAGTGAATCTCCCTTTTGAAAAGGGAAGCCCCTCTACACATGACAGCAAATCCCACCCCACTCCCCCCACCCTACCAGGCACCACAGTCCATGCTCAGCTCTGCCCCTCAGGCCACAACATGCAGAAGCCTGCCATGTATTTGTGCAAGCGCTGCTCTTACCAACTGGTAGAGCGCTGCAGAGACACCCTCACCTCTGCCAACACAACCTGGCAGGAAGCTGGCCAAGGAGCACTGGAAACTGCTACAGCTGATCAGGTGGGGCCAGGGCATCTGCACAGAACAGCTACCTTTGTGTGGCAGTCCTTGTTCTGCAACACCATTGTGCATTTTGCCCTGTATCTTGTGGTTGAATGGCTCTACTAGCGCTGTAACAACACAGACACCGCTTGCTTTCAGTCTGCTCTTTAAGTTAGGATCCTATAACATGGGTTCAGCTGATACCCACAGTATCAGCTACCCTGTGGGGCTCTGCACTGGCCATTCTAAGGCTGCTGTCCAGCCCATCACACTAACAACTTCCATTTCTCCATTATCCTTGAAAGGGATGGTTCCAGCAGGGGTTTAGCAGGCAACACGAGCAAGACAGAGCTGGTGAAGTTGCTGAGTGTGTGGTATTGCCTGGCACATTTATGGTTCATTAGGGGAAACCCACAGGACCATATGCTGGAGGAGAACAAGACTGAATCAGGCTGCAGCATCCTGACTTTAAGCAGACCCTAAGTACATGTGCTAGGGCCCACGCAAAAGCCTGCTTACTATGTCTTGCAGAAACTAGATGTAGAAACAGAGCTGTGCTGGTGAGGCTGACACTTCAAGCTCCAGAGCCCCAGAAGTGATTTTTACAACCCCTACAGTGACATTCGGTGCTGCTTCCCAGAAGCCTAGCTCTTTTTGCCTGGAGGACAGCATCCCCTCAGGGCATGCAGCTGGACAGAGGTGCACCCTACAGCACCCCCCACCACCACCACCCAAACATCTACATGCCTGCATCACACTGCCCAGACAGCCTTTGGTGGAGGGCACCAGAAGCTATCTACATTCCTGTCAGCACCAACTTTGCGCCTGGGGCCTCCTGTGTCACCCAAGTCTGCACAGAGATGCACTACCCTTTTAACAAAGCAGCAGCATGCTGCTATAAAGGGATGAGTTTCTGTAGCAACCAGGCTGAACTTGTACAAACTCTGCCAAAGCACTAGATCTTTCCATGGACTGATACTTGAACGAACACACCACCATTTGTGAAACTGTTCTTTACAGCCCTCAAAGGCCTGGAAATAAATTCTTCCCTCTATTATACCCCCTGTGGCCTGGTCACAGGGGTGCATTAAGTTACTGCAACCAGCACCCCTTCCTCCCATGCACAGGCAATTTTACAGAGAAGCCTAGTGCCTCTGGAAGAGTTAACCGAACACTGCCTGCATCATGCTGGAGGAGCACCCAGCACCCTGAAGAACTCCACATCTGCTCCCAGCTGCAAAAGCAGGGAACACCACTGGGGGAAGGGCAAGCCAGCCAGCAGTGCATGGCTGCAAGCCCACACCCTGCTGATCACGTAGGTTTGCGCTGGACCAAAAGAGTTAAAGCAAGAAGCCATTCCACCGCATCTCCTCCAGCCCACTGTTAAGGAACAGACTGATATTTCTAGTTAAACGGGGGAGTGGAGAAGGATCCTTCCAAGTCTTCTGCACAGCCTGCAAGCTGCAGGCTGAAGTTGTTAGTTGGGTGCCGGCTGTGCCTACCACACCCCACAGGCAGAGTTCGGCAGCCAACACTGCCGTAGCGTAGGAGCAAGCGCTGCTGCCTGGGCTTTCACAGTCAGGCAGGGGGTCCCTTCGCAGGCACGCACACCCCTGTCCGCAGAGCAGTGTTACCTACCACCAGGTATTTTCCTCAGACTGTCAGAGCAAAGTTCAGCCTCACTCCCACCCGGCATGTTTAGTGTCCTACCACCACACTCCCCCACCCACTCCATCCAAAGGCAGGGAAAGGATTTCTGTTCTGCTCTCTCCTCTCAGCTACGTTATTCCTCTACCAGCATTACAGCACCGAGCAAAAGAGGAGCCTGGGCACTTTTGTCTGCAGTGAACTGACAGCAGACCAGAGGGGGCTGTGAAACAGCCAGCCAGCCTCCCCAACTCAACCCTGCCCTCATGCTTACCACCACATTACACAAGCATTAAGGGTCGAGAAGCCCCCATCACCAACAGCCAGCACTCTGGTTAAACAAGCAATAGCTCAAAAACAGCAAAAGGAATCCAGCAACTGTTGCTGCATGTGTCAGCAGAGAGACTCACCGGACTGTGTGCTGGTTTGTGCTGCAGCGTCAGAGTCCTGGGTGCTCCAGGGTCTGTCCCACCCTGTCAGGTTGAGCGACTGCAGGCCAAGGCACAGATCGTTGGTGTCTGGGAGGCCACGGGAAGACTCTTGTGTGGATGTGGGGAAGAGCATCCTGCTTGCCACTGCTTCTTCAGAGTCCTGGAAGTCTGCTCAGATGGAGAACAAACAGAGGCTTGAGAGTTCAGGGCTGTTTTTCTTTTCAAGAAGGAGTTTTCCAAAGCATTAAGCCCCAAGCTGCGTCTCGTACTGCTCTGAAGCCACTGCTTCTGCAACTAGCCGTTGCACCCCAAAAGGGACGGCTACCATATGTCCAGAAACCAGCCCCCCACCCCCCTCAGCCCCTCCACCTTCCTATCCCGTCTGCATTACTGACTGGGTCAGCATGTGACCAGGCTGCTGATGCTTACTGTGCTGACAGTGACGTCACTCAGCCATGCAACAGAACTGCATCAGCTCTTACAAAATAAAGGTAAGAAGAAAGGATAGATTCCCCCTGGAAGACGAGACAGCACGCAGGAGGAAAGAGGTGCAGCTACAGTAAATCAAGGGAGGCAGCCAGCACAAAAGCAGAGCTCCACAATACAGCACAGCAGACAGGCTCAAGACAGCAATCCCCCCAGCAACGACGATAGCAGCAGCGACAGATCAGACAGTTAGTTTTTAGTGCTACCCAGCTCTCCTGTCCCCGCCTCCCTCCACCCACAAAACCCAAAAACACTTTAGTCCTGGACAGACTCCAGCTGCTGGCTCCAATTCAGAGCCCAATGCAAAGCTTCACAATTCTGCTAGCATAATCTATTTGGTTCAGCTTGGCCACTGTGCCTCACTGACTCTGCATTGTTTACCATTGAGTAACAAGGATAACCTTCAAAACCCCCCGCCCCGCTATATGAAGAGAAGCGCATTATCCCCAGACCAGTCTGAGTGGGCACGTCACCCTAGTTTAGCAAAAACGGGTCCTGCACTCTGGCTGGTCCCATTTCACATCCGGGGTTTTCATGGCCTATTTCCCCTTCCACCCACCCGGTCCCACCGAGCCCTCCCCTTCCCTGTAGGGTGTTCACAGGCCTACAGTACTGGAGAGGCCAGACTCTTGCCTCGGTTTAAGCCTGTGCCAATAGCCTAAGGAAACGCAGCAGGTTCACGGTCTGAGAATTCCAGTTTACTGCAGGATCTGGGGGCTGGTGAAACCACAAGATGCTCAGCTGTGTTACCCGAAATCTGAGTCAGAGGGCATTTATAAGGCAGCTCCCAAGCAGTGGCAGCTGTCTCCTCCTCCTCCCCCTGCCCCCACACCCTCCTACTGTGCCATCAGATGTACACCTCGCACACACCACTCGCTGCTCTCCAGCAGGGTGCTGCAGTGACTCCAGCCTGTCACGTTATCCCTCATGTGCAACCCTGGCCATCCCAGACGCTCTAACAGTGTTCATGGCCTTTTTTTCCACACCCAAGTCATCTAGTTACCCACAGCCTGGCAAAGCCCAGATGAGACCCCAGCAGTCGGGTCCCCTAGGTGGGAAGGGGGCTGCTTCACCAAGGGTGCGGCATTCATCTTCACCCCATGGGGGCATCGGGATCGCCAGCGTTCCCGGCTCAGCGGCAGCTGAAGTGCTGCAGTCAGGATGCGACCAGGTAAAGCTGGAGCAGAGGATGAACTGCAGTCTTCCCCCTTCCTAGCTGTAGCCTCCTCCGCAGTACTTAACTGGGATATCATCCCCCAGGTTTTTTCTACTCCTCTAGTCGTACTACCACAAGCTGTAGTAGCAATTCAGTCACATTACTACCAAGCACCTGAAGCAGCACTGAATTTTCTGAAAGCATCATGCCATACCACCAGCAGGGTATTTTACTGCATTAGTTCTCCCAGTTAGTTTTCAGATCGCTTGTTTTGGACAGGTCCTAAAAACATTTATAATGCAGCTGTAGGGAGAAGAGGATAAAAGCATACTGCTCAGACAACTCAGTTCCCACAGCAACCATAACTTGCCCATATGAATATGCAACACTGCCATGTTTATGGAAATGCACAAGTGCTCTGCCATAGCCCAGATCCCTGACAGCAGGCGACTGCCTTCCACTGGCTGACCAGCATTTTACTAGGTTTTATACCATCTTCCCAAAATTAACTCCCAAGCTGGGAAGCACAGACCAGAACAGAAGAGCTACAGACTGCAGAACTTTAACCCTACCTAGAGTCCCTCATCCAACATTTCAAATGAAACCTACCACTGAAAAAGTTAGGAAAATGGGGAACTAATTCCTTAGAGACAAAACACTCCACAGCATTCTAACCTAGACCTGCAAGTTTCCCCTCCCCCCCCCCCCAAAGGAAATAAATGATTCTGTTTAACTGAAACAAATCAAATTCAAGTTCGAAACCTATGTTTCTTTCTGATGGCTTCAATCTGCATTGAAGACAAGCTCCCTGCAATTCCATTACACATACAACTACTCTGAAGCACAAAGTAAGTTTTAGATAACCAGTATTTTTTTTTTTAATGAGATCTTCCAACCTAAGCAAACAGTCAGCACATGCCTGCTTCTCCTTTAAACAGCTAATATGCTAAAAAATGGATATGGGTCATAAAGGAAAATACCAACTTAAATAGAATTGAAACAGATTTCTGGAATATTTGTTTTCAAATTCAGAGTCCAGAAATTTCTTACAAAGCAGTCAATTGTTGATGGCAGACAAAGCTAATAGAATACTGGGGCAGGCAGAATTAACTTCCTACAGAAATTCAGTATACAGAGTCACAACTTGGAGTTAGTTGTAAGTATGTTCAGCAAATATTAAATAGTTTCACTTTGCCACCTGGCACAGTCCAACCCAGTCCAAATGCTTTGCTGCAGACTTTTGCAAGCCCCAGGAACCAGCACGAGTCTTTCCAACCTGAATTTTTCCCTGGAGTTGCCACTGGAAGCCAACCATCCTGGCAAAGGGACCTGTACTGCACTGGGCTTGTGCCCAAGAATCTGGAAGAGACCAAACCCCTGCCTTGCAAGATGGTTAGGTTTCATTTCAGCAGCATCACAAGCAGCAGGTCCTTAGTAAAAAGCTCCTGTGCAAGTCTCAAAGCAGGCAGCTTTCCTGGATGATGTCCTCCCCAGTCCAGGAGATCCCTGGAGCCAGGGTGCCCACAGTACATTGTAACATAGGCTGGAGAGCTTTCCACACCACTGCCCTGACAGAAAGCGGCATTTTCCAGACTTTAAACATTAGCATCACACTCAAAACATTTCAAAGGATTCTTAAAGAGAAGTATCTCTGCACAGTTCAGCCCTTAGCCTACAGTTAAACCCTACCGGCCCCAGCACAGCCAGCTTATTCAAGCTGCAGCCCCAACCACTTGTCCCCACCCCAGCACTCCCCTCCACTTACACCACTTAGGCGGATGAGTTCTCACACAGGAAACCGGGTCGAGGAACTGATCTGGTTAAAACCAAGCCACTAGGAGTTAGTTTTAGCCCGGCTCATTTCTCTGATCTGGTATGCAGTGCGGCTCCACCAGCCAGGCATTTGGAACAGGAAAATATTTGGAAAATTACAGCTTAGCCTGTGTGGAGAGGACAAGTAAGGACGGGCACCAAGAGCTGTCACCCACAGGCAGTTTGTGGCAGACGTGTTAAGGCAGCATGACAAGTTGAGCCTGGTTCAACCCCTACCCCTTCACAGCAGCATCTCTCTGCTCCATCATACTTGTTCTGGCAATTTAGGAAATATGACACTCTTGATTCAAGTGCAAAGACATGCAAGCGTTCAAGCCTTTCAGACCTAGGTCACTAGCAAAGCAAGCTAAAAATCCAGCAAGTGCATTTTACATCTTGAAATCTGAAAAAAACAAGAGCTCAAAGAAGGGAACAGAACAGTTAAATGACCATGAACCAAGCAAGCTAGCTCCCCCTCCTACTGCCTCTACAACCACTGAAGAGGTCTCCCTCCACTCCTACAGGCCAACCTCTAGCAAAGCTTGACTAAGGAAGAAACACCTCCATGAACGAGGCCCCTGAGTGCACAGAATAGCAGAAGGATAAGCACAGCTCAACTGTAGAGCAGATAGAAAGGAGCTCTGTTCACTGACGAAACCAGATGCAACTCCAAGACATCTTAATGAGCAGCAGCCTCATGGACTATAGGTCTATCCAAGGCTGAACTTTCAAGTAAAGTCCAGAGAAGGAAATGAGGCAAGTGTCTAAGCACTTCAGGTCACAAAAGGGAATCACAGCAGTAGTTATGCTTTTCACGCTTTTTACACCTCCAGTTTCAAAGGCTAGGAATTGTATCCATGAAAGTCAAGCTTCCAAGCATGTTTTGCACACAAGACAATCAGACTAAAATCTTGAGTGAAAGCTTTTAGAGGAAGAGCCAATTGGATACCTAGGGTGCACTAGGAAACATCAGGGCCTCCTGTGTTAGCTAGAGCCCTACCAGTTACAAAAGGTCTGTCTAACACCTGACTAAGCATCTTCCCCCTAATCTGAAGAATTCCTGGAGACATTTGTTGCCATGTGAACTGCTTCATAGCCAGCTGAAGGAGTTTGCCTTGTTTCAACAACCCCAGACTCTTGAAAGCTAGCCAGCAACTATTTAAATAACTAAAGGAAGAGCATACTGTGACTTAGCCTTGCTGCTCTACCTACTTCTCCCAGAAGAAGTGAGAGAAGTAGGAGAAGGGTGAGAGATATTGCCACAAGGTTCTCTCATCAAAACCTGAACCAGAGGGCTAGGCCAGCACAGGAAGTCAGAAAACCCACTGGAAACCTGCTGGATCTTCAGCAACATAAATCCAATCTGTATCTGCTGCAGAGTGCAACAGCCCTAGGCCAAGTCCATGCTGTGGAAGAACATAACTCCATGATCCGCTTCCAATTGTGGATTTGATGAATTTTTATTTCTGTTTACTACAATTATTTTCTGTTTACTAGAGCTACTTTCCAGGACAGAACTGTTGATGTTTCAAATGAGACATTAATATGTCTGACTACATGGACTCAAAGCAAAAGGCATTAGGTGTTTAGCTCTTTGGGCACGTAGGGGTTCAATTTCACTATTCCAAGCTTGTATAGTGACACAGCATTTTTTTGGGCAAGCACAATCATTCTCAGCCACAGACTCCAGGTGAGCTCCCAATATCCACCTTGCCCAGGCTCAGGCACCCTGTTAAACCTACACAGTTGAGGTAAGCAGTGCTACATTTTGGGTCATTGCTTCCACAATTTTTTGTCCCACCTTCCAAGATCTCACATATCAAGTCAGCTGCATCCAGTGCTACTTGGCATGTTTCCTGGTGACTGCAGGACAGTGAAACAAGCATTTACATTATACTACTGGAGAGGACTTTTTGGGTGGCTAAACAAGTGATATGTCATTAACTGCAACTGCAATCGAGAGCAAGCAGGAAGTTGATCTAATTAGCTAGTCTTGGTCTGCATTTGTCCTTTAGTTTTCCTTAAACAAAGCAGCCACTGCAAATCATTAAGATACGATGATCCACAACTAGCAGCCTTTACACTGAACTTGGCACCGTAAGCAACTCCTGTCAACTAGAAAGTCACCTAAGCATCCTCCCATTCTTTAGAGGATGGGCTGGCAACCTGTATCAAGATAATGGATACTTTGTCTCATTTAAATGAGCAGAGCTTAATGAAAGGGGA